AATCCTGTTAGAAACAACATGAAAATGCTTTACCAAAATCCTTAACAATTATCTAGTACTCATCTGCAAAAAGTACAAAATTTTGAAAAAACCTAATTTTATAGAACTTCCAGAAGAAAGTATTTCAGAACTGATACATCTATTAAACAATATTTGCGAAGAAGCTAGAGAGGAAAATAAGGAACTCTGGATTTTCTTTCAAGACACAGCAAAGATATATGATATAGTCAGTTTAGATATGCTAGAAAAGGCACTTCAGAGAATCAAAGTCCCAAATAAAATCATCAAACTTATGCTAGATCCACTCACACAAAGAGCTATCAAGGTAATTACTGATGTAGGCATTCCAAAGAAATTATAGCAGGTGATGGCATAGACCAAGGAGAAACTATATCACTATTGCTTTGGAGAATCTTTTATGATCCCCTTCTCTATAAAATACAAGAAAACTATAGATTAGGCTATACAATAAGTTGCTTATGAACAACAAATTTCAGCAAGCCAGCAAGTGATCCAGAGGTCTCTAGAAAACTCTCATTTAAACAGGTAGAAATAGTTTACATGGATAATATCATATGGATAGCTAGATCTCAGAAGGATATGAAATGTATTCTGGAAAGGGCAAAAGGGTTTTATACAGCAAATGATTCACAGATTAATGGAGATAAATCAATACTAATCACAATCAACAGTCCAATTAAAGAACCCAACAGAGTTTATATTAGAACAAATCAAGAAGAGATTAAAGAATTAGACCACAAAAGCTATATGAGATTCCTAAGCATTTGATTAGGCAACAAAGACCAAATCAAAGATACAATCCAAAGAATTCAATGAGAAATTCAAGCAATTCTTCCAAACCTAGGGAAAAGGCTGATTATAGACAGACATGTGAAATATATAATTAACAAAGTTCTAATTCCAAGGATTGAATACAGAATGCAATATAGCTCAATAAGTATGCATTCAAGCAATCTTTTCATAGCTCAACTTAGGAAAACACTTAAACAAGTAGTCAAGATCACTAGAACAATGCCAAACTCATCTATACACCACAAATCTATCTATAGACTCAAAGGCATCCATGAAATTCAAATAAAAAACCAAATCACCAACTTTATAAACTGCCTTAATAATACAGATTCTGCTTGTACATCGACCCTCATTCGTCTTAAGCAAGCACAAATAAAACACTAGGAGCCAGCAAACATGCTCTCGGACAACACCTTGCACAATCCATACAAGAAAAACTTCTCAGCCCAAACACTTAAGACAGCTAACAAATTGTGTATCATCTTCTTAGATTCACATTGGAGAGACATATTCCAATGGGAAAAAGAATATATTATAGTTAAAACCTTACTGAACAATTTCAGAATATATAACAGAGCAATAATGTCATTAAGAAAACACAACATTATGTTCGTAGACCAGCTTATTGATAAAGAGTCCAACATGCTATTAAACTGGAAACTAATTCAAAACCCTCAAGGCCATTAATGAGGACCAATTTCTAGCTAGTTCCAAGCAGTGAAGCAGCTAGTAGCAAATAAATTCAGAGTATTGAAGACAACCTGGAGCAAATACAACTGGACATCACAAAATAGGTTGCTCTTTACAACAGAAAAGCCAGTTGACCCAAGAAAATGGAACTGGCAAGTGAATATAAATAATGATAACAAAGAACTCTGCTGGACCAGAAATAAAGGTATTCTAGCGAACAGCAGTAAGGAGATAGAACACTTCCAAGTCAGTTCTGGCAGGCTCCCAGGAACAACAAAATTCATCAGAATGCAACTGGTTTATAGAAATATAGGAGAAAATCATATACTCACATTTGCTTGGATCAACAATATTAAAAAATATAGGTGAAACAAGAAATTAACCATCCCTATTGATGTTTATATGCTAGAAAACTTGGTCAAGGACAAAATGGAAAAAGTATATTCACAAGACATACCTATGTCCAAATTCCAGTTTGTAGAAATTGAAGACTATGGTAAACAAATTATACAAGAAAACTTACTAGCAGGAGATCTTTATAATTTGCTATGCGAAGAGTATTAGCTCAACATAATCCAAAATTATGCAGGCTCATACCAGTTTTATACCAATGGGTCTCTAGGACAAGTATAGGATCAATTCTTAAGAATAGATGCAGCATAGTTACAAACTAAAGGATCCAATTCGGAAAGATCATTTCAAGCAGCTGTAGATAACTGGCTCTCATTAATTAGAGCAGAACTGGCAACAATTATCATAGCAACTTTGTCAGTACCAAATGGTAATACAGTTAAAATAAGAACAAACAGCTCTTCCTGTATAAATACTTTCTCAATAATAATTAAGCCATATCCCAAAGAAACTTTAAAAAAATGGATGAAAAAACTGAATTGGCAGCTCTGGTCAAGACTGGCTAATATAGTATTCAAGAAAAAGTTATACTTAAAGCTTATCAAAGTCAAAGCATATAGCAAAAACTCCTATAACAATTAGATATATCAATTGGCTAAAAAGGTTAAGGAGAACCCAGAAGTTTACTGGAGGCCCCTATCTATAACAGTTCCCATCACTGTACCGAAGTGGAACAAGATTTCCATTGACATTTCAACCAAAGCATTTTTCAAGGATTACAATGAAAGGGAAATACTCTTACAATGGGTATCACAAAATCAGATCCAGCAAAAATGAAAAGAAGAAATCTAAAACCCTGAAAAATTTGATTGGAAAGGTTTCTGGGACTTCAACAAAAATAAAGGATCCCTAAATACCTCTCTTAAAGCAGCAGGATGCAAAACATTCAAGACCAGATTAATTTACAATAAGCTTCCAACAATAAAAGTTCTAATCAAAAGGAATTCTCTAGAAATGTCCAACAATCTGTATATATTCTGCCAACAGCAAGAAGAAATTCTAGACCACCTACTTATATATGGAAATATATAGAAACTTAAAAAAAACATATGGCATCAGGCTCAAGATAAACTTATAATGACATGTATCCTATAATACACTGATAAAAAAGTGAATGGAAAGCAGTCAGCAATAAATATATTCTTTAATAAATGGAAAGAAAAAAAATCTGACTCGGTCAAAGATTTAGTTAATATAACTATTGGTCTTTGGACAAGAAAAGACATAGAAAAATGGATCAATACTCTTCAGTTACTTAAGATTTCCAAAGTTAAATCCAAGAGAATTCTTAATAAACTCTCAAATTCTGATATAAAAAGATAAGACACCTGATTTGGAATCCAAGATATGAAAGGTCCAAGAGCATAAAAGGAATTTCTGGAGAAAAGGTAAAGAAAAAGAGATTACTATACCTAAGCAGAAATCCAGAGGCATACAAAATTTTCAAGAAAAAAAAAGAGTATTATAGCAAGGCTTCTTAAGCTCAAAAATAGGGACAACTCAGTCGTCTATAGTAGCCAGCTCAAATCACACACCTGGACTTATAAAGGTACTATAGGACAAGATAAAAAAAAGAAAAAAATAGTTAGGAATATAAAGTAATCAAGATTTTGCTAAGGTGAACTGTAGTAATGAACTGTAGGTATTGAACTTGAATTTCCTTAGAAATAAGAAACAAGAGGAAGCAACTTTATTTATCTCCAAGATTATATTTAGAGGTTAACTACCTAAGATGGATATTCAAGTATAAGTAATTAGTTTATGCATAAAAGTCAAATATGTATGATTAAATCTTCTTTAAAAAAAATTAAATAAACATAATAAATACTTGTTTAATTACAGAAAAAAAAAAAAAAATAGAAACTATATAAGAAAAAAAAATAAAAAATTATAGTAAGCAAATAACAGTATAAATATATATATAAAAAAAAGATAATAAAAAAAAAAACCATTATTTATTTTAACTATTATTAAAAAGATTATTTTAATAAACAAATTTTAAATCTCTTATAATTATTATTATACTTTTCTTATTATTATTGTTAATTAAATTATTTAATTTTTATTAAAGTAATAGTATCCAAAAATATTTAAAAATATTTTCAAGAAATTTTTCTTAAAACTTTATGCTTAAAAACCTTTAGTAAGAAAGTATATTGATTTTCTATTATTGATTTTTTTTCTAAATTATATCTTTTGAAATTATTATTTTATTTATTCAATAAATAATTTTAAGATCTTTTTTTTTAAATATTTTTAGAATAAATATTGTTATTTTAACTTGTTATTATATTAAAATATAATTTAAATCTTGTAATTATTTTAGCTTTTTAAAAAAATAAAAAATAAAAAAAAATAAAAACAAAAAAAAACATTGTTTTTTTTTTTATTTATAATTTTAATTTTAATTAATATTTATTTAATATTCCTATTAGAGCTTTAAAAAGTATTGTATCAAAGTGATATTAAAATGGTACCAATCTATAGTAAATTTAATATATAGATTGTAATTCACTCATATAAATTTATAATAAATTTAAGTATTGAATTGATATTGAAGTAATACTAAAGTAATACCATTAGAAGCCCTAATTTCTATACTACTTCTTTAATTAAAAAAACCAATTAAATCTTTTAGGAATTAATTATATTATTAGTTTGATATTATATAATTAAAAACATATAAAAAAATATATTTTATTTATTTTTTTTATAACTGGTATAATTAATCAATTTATATCTTAGCTAATTATTATTCAAAAGATTTAGTATAATTAAAATTTAGAATCAAATTGAAATAAATAAAATTTTTCAGAAAATAAAAAAAAAAGAAGTATACTTAAGAAAAAAAAACAAAAAGTCAAAGAATTAATGAAGAGATTATTAATAAAAAAACAAGATCTTTAAAAATTAAAAAAAAAATTACTTATATAATAAAACTTAATAATATTTGATATTGTAATATTAAAATATTTAAAATATTTAAAATTTGAAATATTCAAGAAATTCAAATATATTTATTTAATATATAATATATAGTATTAATTTAATAAATCAATTATTTATAATCTAAAAAAATAGTATCGTTAAATGGAATTGATACAATAATCCTGTTTTTAGATATGAAAAGAATAATCAAGTATTTTCTATAATTAATTTTGTTCTTATAATGAAAAACTTTAAAACAAGATAAAACTTGTTTATAGAAATTAAATTAAAATTAAAATTAAATTCATTTTCTTTATATACTTGTATTATTCAAATATATCATTGTTATGAGATAGTACAAATTAGTAAAATGAAACCGAAACCTTAATTTTAATTTTTGATTATTGTATTTCTTTTTGTTTTATTATAAAATTTTCTTTATATACTGTATATACTGTATATACAGTAATTGACAAAATATTAACAAAGGGAATCCATTAGATGATACAGTATGCATTTCTATATTATATACTGTATACTTAAAGCTTAGGTTATTAAAAGTAATATATTTTTGAAAATGTCTTATGTATTGCTTTAAACTTACGATTTACCCAATGCAAATCTGGTTATTTATCGAGTGCATTTATAATTTTGTTTATTAAATTTATTATTTAAACAAATAACTAATACATACTGTATGCATAAAATATTTTTACAAAATTCGTTTAAATTATATATATGAATTTTTAATTTTAATACCGGAATTCTGATAAACTATAAACGATGATAATATACCCGCACATTATCTATACCATTAAATTTTATTTTTTTCGCAAGTCATCAATTATGCAAGGCATGTTAATTCGATGTTTTCTGCAATTCAATTTTTTTCATCCAAAGATTTGTTTTACCGGACGCTCGTATACGTGTTAGACAAAAGCAAGGATGAAGATTGCAATTATACACAATAATCCTAACGTCCAGATGGAAGTTCTTGCAATTGAGAGATTACTCCAGTATAATGGAAGATAGATCTATTTGAAATATTAATGCGATAATGAGTTATATTTAAAAAAGAGCAGTGACATAAATCCATTCGGATATATTACATACCGCTCTAATAACAGCATAAATAATGCAGAAAACGCTAGTTGCGGTCGCAACTGTACCATCTTTTCCAGTTGGAGAAGTGCCGCCGTATTGGGAAATCTGTGAAAAGGCTCGAGTGAAAACTGCAGCAGAAAAGAAAACCAAGGCTTCTATAGTGTTGTTTGATGCACTAACAGCTCGTCGACCCCATGCCGACTTCAGGGACAGATGTTGAAAAGTGGGAAATTGGTGTTAGATAAAAAATCTTTTTAATTGGGTATTGGAAAGAGGACATTCTTAGAAATTAAAAAGTGTACCAAATTATTGTACTGCTCTCTCGGATTAGAATTATTATAGCCTTCGAATTGTAGAGTTTGGGCTCTTCTTACTGGTATCAGCGAGACGATCCAAAGCAGGAATACTACAAACACGCATGCGAATTGTATTGTTAAATCAGTATTTGGGAATGACATTTTTTTTTAATTTTTTGTGATGAATAGATTAGAGAATTTACGAAATGATTTTTTTTTTATTTTTGGGGAACGATACAGTTTCCTCTCTTAAATAATGAAAATGAAACCTTTAAATTTATCTTCTAAACATTACATAATTAATGTATCATGACGGTAATATTGGATCAGTTTGAAAGTCTGCACAAACGATCTATTACATAAATTAGTTGCACACAACTCCAAAACCATATATAGTTAATACTAACTACGTCACTGAAGGCTAATAATTCCTAGCTATGGTTTCCGCATTCTTTAAATATTTTATTTAGTCCAATATGGTATTAAATCTTTCACCGTAAGATCCTTTTTTTTTCTCTAAAGTCCAAATGAAGTCTATTGGCAACACGAAAATGTAATATTAAGGACAAAAAGACAATATCAGAATGTAGATAAGTGGAGATTAGGATAAATAAATAAATACGTAATATAAAAAATTAGGTAAAATTACAAATGTGATGAATGCTATATTGCTATGTACAGTGAGTCAAATGGGATACTGAAAACCGACGAAAGATTTAATCACCATTCACGAGAGGAAATAATTCTTTCGTCTCGAAGATAAATCGTCGCCAGGAAAGAATGAAAAAGTTATGCAGGACGAACAGCAAAAAAAAGTATTCAAAATTGTGCTCTTCAATCACACCAAGACAAGGGAAAAGCTGATTTCGTGAATTGTTTTCTTATATGCGTTATTCTACGCCTTTGTCATTTTGTGAAAAAAATATTTACGAATACGACATATCGTTTTTTTTCACAGCTTAATAGGCCGACAATTCGTTATCCACAGAATCCCTCGATGCTGTGGAAGAAGTCGAATCAGATTTTTTATGTTTTTGCTGCTGCTGTTGCTTTTGCCTCTCTTGCTGACGTAGTAACCTATTCCTGGAGAAGGAAGTCGAAGATGCTCCAGCTTCTATGTGGCCCAGGGTGGTGACCGAAGGATATTGATGCAAGTGAATGTTGATCGTAGTGTTACCGCTCATCGGAGGAAACAAGAATGAACCGCGACCTGTTTCATAGACCAGGCGTGATCGGTCGTTATAGCTTGATTCCGTGTTTGCTTCAAAGTCTTGAGATTCGGTTGGAGAATTGCTTGTGATGACAGTTTCTGTTTCTGTTGTGGTCGTTATGAATAAGTCGGACGGGTCAAATGAATCTTTGGTGGGCGTGTTCAAGACACGTGACAATCTCTTCGCAAAAGTTTTTCTCCTCTTATCGGCGGCATCCGCGTATATGTCATACATGTGTACGTGAGTCTCGCCGTTACGGTAATCATGACCGAAACTTTGACCGGATATAGTACCGGAATTCACGGTAGCTGAACTATATCTGCCACCTTGATCTGATCCTAAACTCGTGGAAAGACCATTTTGTACTTTGGGTAATTTTCTCTTGTCCAAAAATGTACGCACAAACCATTTCAAGATTGGTCTTTCTTTTTTAGAGTTTAATGTTGAGTAATTGTTTTTCGTGACACCGGAATTATCATGGTCGGTAGAAACGCGTGTCTGACCCGGTAGTCGGGTTGGCGAAGGCGGATACAATGATGTGGGTGATGACGGAAATGTTGTCAGATATGGCGAGTATGGTGACAGGGAATGTGGATTAAATGACGGAGAATTTGGGAAGAACGCCTCAGATGGTGTCAGTGGGCTATTAAGGGAGGCCGTGAATCTTGAGTCGAAGTGACACTTTTCGTAGCCGTACGTGTCGAGGAGATCCTTTTTCATTTTTCTAAGAGCATTATGGATGGCAGGGTCGAACAGAAAAGCCAAACAATTGATAAACCCTATGAGAATAATCGAAGACGCATGAACAAAAGCATATCGCCAGGTAAACAAGAAAGAGAATTCGAAGGAAAGGATGAAAGAAAAGACTCACCGGGTAAACACGATCCAATGATGGCCCAATAAGTCAAAGGTAGCGGTGCCTTTTTGTCTCTGTTAAAAGAATTATAAACATACTCGACGATAATGCCACTAATGTTTATCAACGGGATCGCCGCATACAGTGAGATACGGCTCACCAATTTTAACAGAAGAATCTTCTGTTTTCGAGCCTTTGCCGATAAGGTTGCCCTGCTCTGAGTATGTATTGCACCGGCTAGTTTCCGATGTTCAAAAATCAATTTGCACACGACGGTCGCCAACACTAAGGTGCAATATATCATGGATAAGGCTAGCGGAATTAAAAAAGTACCGACTTTCCACCATTGCGTTGCCACACTCTGTGCATCACGGTAGAGACATTCGAGTCCGTCCGCGTCAAATCCAAAGCGGTTATAAAGCAATGGTGGCAGATTTATGATACCGGCAGAAAGGATGGCCACCGGGATATACCATCGGTCTGAGAAGGATGAAACCTTCCTTCGATGAAGAAAGACCACCTGAAAATTAATTTGAAGGTACACATAAAAAGTGATTAGATTGTTGGTATCGAGCGAGTATATATATCGAGGAAAGCATCCAATCATATACCTGTAAATTGAACGCTATCATCACGGTCAAAAACAAATACACCTCTGGAAAGAAGGACATTGCAAATCCGATGAACGTACACGCGGTTGAATTTGAGGCCGGGTAATGTGCATAGGCTATCACAACCGCACCAGTAAGTATGTCGACAAACGATATCATGGCCGTCAATCTCAGAGAAACTCGATTTACCAATTTCTTGTCATAAAACCACATTGCCGTTATCATTAATAATACTATCAAGCCGCCAGTCATGCTTATTATGCTTAAATTTGTATTTAATTTTCTGAATACATCATCTTGGGATATTCTCTGGATGTCGGCTAGATAATGAGGATTATCAGGGTAAGGTGTGTACGGAACGTCGGGATCGGAATATGGGTCATCTGGTGTGTATGTATTATCAGTCATCTCTTTCTTCTTGCTTGTGAACGGGATCACAATTATTAAAACTTGGGTATCAAAATTCCCTTTGTTTGGTGGTAGGTTCAATCATGCAAGAAGGCCAGAAGGAAAAACACTCCGTTAAGTTAGTTAACGATGAGGTGTTATTTGGTGTCTCGTAAATGTTCTAGGGAGGAATTTAGGGAATCGGGTGTTCGATGATGATCCAAAGGAAGGAACCAAATGAGCTTGGATAGTGCGTTATATTGCCTACCACAGCTATTTGGGGTCGGATGTTGTTAGTTGACAAAAAA